CCCCAAAACCCCAAAACCCCAAAACCCCTAGTATCTTGATAAATTGTTAATGGGAAAATTAATAATTATCCATTTTTATAATTTATATGTTCTTTAATAAAACTCTTATATTTTCTTGATCAATAGTTGGCTGTGGTCCCACCACCTAGAGAATGAATATTAAGTCTTTTCTTTTCTTTAAATCTAGATGACGCATTTTCACTTAATTCGTTATTTCTACTTGATGTATTATTATTAGTCAAATTGTTTATATTTAAACCGCTGCCAGCTATTTAACTTCCTTAAGCATTGATAATTTTAATCTGAGGTCTGATTTGTTTAATTTTCTCATCAATTTTACTTCCATTGCTGCCATTTAAAACTAAATCCAAATTTCTATTCATTCCTCCACTGTTTTAATGAATAACACTAGCATTGTTGTAATGTCTCACTAATTCCTATGAATTAATACTTATTTTATTTTTCAATGAGCTTTTATAGATTCTCTAGAGATCATTCTAAATCTTGTCTAAACTTCTCTTTCTTTGTTTGTCCAGGATATCATAGTAATGCCTCATTTACTATTGTTAATGCTAATGCTATTGAGACTGAATGATAAGATTATTGCCATTCGATGCAGCCTGTTGATGATGAATGGCATTCCCATATTTACTTAATTAAGATTTAGATCTGGCAGTACTATTATCTTAAATAGTTTAACTTGTATAATCTCCTTTACTTTAACCTGCTAATGAGCTTGTGTTAATTTCAGGAAGGAGGAGACTTAGATTTTTTGCTTTGCTTGGATTTCTATTTAGTGTTCTGGGTGCTATCTGCGCATTTAATCCAATCTAAGCAATATTTCTGGAACTATAATTGACTTACTATTCTATTTACTGTAGCGATCTATTTGAAAGTTGTATTTTTTATAGAGAACTGTCATTATTTATAGTTTAGCTATTGTTATTTGATTAGTCTTATAAGTTCTTTTTATATATTTAGTAAACAGATGGTTGCTTTTAATTGCTTGAATTAGAATATGCATTTACTACATGCATATATTCTTGCTTTATGATTGAGGGTGACTTTTTCTGTTGAACTCTTATTATAGCAGGTGACCTTAAAGTATTTTCAGATATAGAGGTATTTTATTTCTAGCCTATTAAGTTGATTTTTTATGCATCAATCAACTATATATACTTTGCTTAGTTTATTGAATTAGCTTCTTACACTTCCTGATTTGAGGCTGAATTTATAGTTGACATTTCCTCACTATTTTTATTCTGACTTCCTATTGAAATGAATTTTTTTATACTAACATTATTTCCACTAGCACCATTTACTAAATCTTCTTTTTTCTTGCTGAGCTTAATTTTAGGTATATTTATTTTTTGCTTGCAATCAGAAATTTGAATTTCTATTATTGGCTATAGATCTTTATTTATTTTAGGACTATCAAGGCCACCGCTATATTTTGAAATCTTAGATTCATTTATGATGATATCAATCTTATTTTGACCAGGCCTTATTCTGTTGCTCTTTTCTGGGGACTCTTGATTGAGTCGATTTTCCAATTTAATTTTACGAGGAGTTGAATTACTGAGTCTTTCCTAACTTTGCTCATTCATATTAAGAGTTGAGTTATCCCTTGACCTTTGATTGTCATTTAACTAGTATTCTGAATTATTATTGTCATTTCTAGGGATATCAAAGGGTTATCTAGAATTAATGTGAGAGTCCTTATCAAATGCATCTTAGTTATATAAGTCATCCTCGTTTATATCTTTATCTAAATGTTTTTATGATATTTCGAATTGTGAATCATTATCCATAATCCTTTATTCATCTCTACTTCTTACTCTTGATAGAATTTATTTTCTACTTTGCTAATTTTTATTGATTCGCAATAAATTTGATCCATTTTGCATTGTTTCTTCCATAGTAGGGCTATTAGTATCAAAATTTGACACTTGCTTTTATGTTTTTTCAACGGTCATGGGAGATTATTATAAAATCTACTTCTTTCCAAGAGTAGAGTAGTTTCTATACTTTGCTTGTGGCAACCTTTCAGTCAGAGAGAAGAGGTTTTTACTAATTTTTATAGTTTTCAAAAGTACACTATCATTTTTTGGAATACTAGACTGTTGAAATGTTGCCTAAATTATTTGGTATTACTCTGGAAAATAGCGCTTTAATTTGTTTTCAACAACAGGATGGCTGATGATTTAGTCTAATTTAAAATGATTGAGATAAATTTTATTTACCACAGTTAGGTCTCAATTGAGGTGAAACTTAAAGCATGTATTTGATAATATTATTTAGATCTTGGCTGAAATGAGTGGGAATTTTAGGATATATACCCTTAATAACTTTTTTGTAGAGTCCTTGCATATCATCAGCCTAAAATGGTGGGCATAATCCACACATTTCATAACAGACACAGCCCAACGACCAAATGTCACTTTTCCCATCATAAGGCATGTCCTTCCAAACCTCAGGACTTGCATAATACGGTGTTCCAGTTTGCGTGTAGCTTAATCCCTTTTTGGCAACCTTTGAAACATTTAAATCTCCAAGCTTAGCTTTCATATCCTTGTACAAGAATATATTCGCGCTCTAAATTTGAAATATATTCAAAATACTATTGCTTACTTTCATGTCTCTGTGAAGTATTTTCATATCATGTAAAGATTTTAATCCTAATACAACTTGTATAAATACATACCAGATCTTTTTCTCCTTGATATATGCTTCACGCTTTTGATACTGGCAGATTTTCTGAAACATATCTCCATTATCAGCATATTCCATGACAATACTAGATTAATTAATGATAGCTATCTTTTTACCAGAGTGACTAAGAGGGCTCATCGATGAATGCCTCTTTATAGGCAATAACATTTGGATGATTAATCGATGCTAGGATTCTGACCTCGTTTAATGCGTTTTCCTTTTCTCTGTCACTCAGGTTTTACATTTTAACTTTCTTTAAAGCATATAATTCTTCGTCTTCAAGCCTTTTAACCTTGTATACACTGCTGTATGCTCCATCACCTGCAATGATATTAGACAATTTGAATTGTATTAAAGAGTATACCTAGCTTTTTAATGATGTTAAAGTCATTAAGTTTGGACATTGTTAAAATAAGTGTCAAAATTATTATCGAAATGTAAATCCTAAATTTTTCATTAATTTTTAATAGCTGCTCTTTGTTCCATATTCTTTCAATAAGGGGTTTTGGGGTTTTGGGGAGATCGGAAGA